AACGATTCATACAACCTCTGAGCATTTAGTGGGGGGCGGCTTGAAGTCTGCAATTTGGATACTCCACAATAAGTGACTATATAATCATAAACTCAGAATCCATGCCAGTTTCCATTAAGTTTTGCGCCTTTTTTCCCTACAGCTTCTGCCTGCGTATCATATTGGGATCGACGGATGTTACGAAACAAAAGCTAAAGGAGATATTATGTGGTGCAAGCTTTTGACTGAACTACACAAAACATGTTTATTATAAACTAGAACTTTATTGTTTGTACGAAATTTTAGAATTCACTTCTCCAAGCTAAAACTATATGATCCACTAATTTACGGGTGACCCCATACATTTATCCTTGATTCTATGTCATGATAGTGTTAAGCCTCCATCCGATGGAACCGCTTATTTGCGATATTTAGCATGAATTGGTATTAGACAATGTTTTAGATTTGTTGAGTATATTCGTAGTGAATCGCGATTTGGTATGCAATCAGATTTAGCGTATCCTATTTAATTCGGATTGACATGAGGGTTTACTGTGACAATTTATGAAAAAAAATCTGTTAGAGTTATAGGAAAGAGTGTCAAAGGATATTACTCGATGGTGTTGGTTACCCAAGTCAACTGTATCTTTTATATTGTGAATAGGTTGTCGGCACTTTATAGGCCAGCTAGTTTCTTTTGGGAACAGACACGAGTCAAGAAGTCTTCCTGATTTGTGAATCTATAATCAGGGAAAGAGACCCACAAGCAAGAATATATTCAGGCTCACTGACCAAGCAAAACGCTTCAGCGTAGATCTTGTAGCTGCAATGATGCCAAAAGATCATCGTGCTTGAACAAACAGAAACAAAAGTTTTTTCTGCACAACCTGTCTCACTGTTTTAAATATTGCCTGTAGATTCATCGCTTGCAGGATATTAGGAACCCCAAACACCCCACCCCCGCCTACAAAAAAAACCAGACCCCGTAGTAAATGTTTTCAAATGCTGCCTGTATGTTTCTCGTGCAGGTCAAACAAGCCTTACGATACCCCCCCCCCCCACACCCCCAAACAAAACAAACAAAAAAAAATAACAGACACCAGCACGGGGTTAAATGTTTTTTGACCCTTTCACCCTCAGACTCATAAGTTCACCACAGAGCCTGGTCAAATTTCAGTTCGAAGGACGAAACACAGGGGCATTAACTGCAAAACAAGTGAGTTAGGGGGGTCTACATGCAATGAAGTTCATGCACTCAGGCACGGTCGAAGCTGTCTTACTGATTATCCATTGGATCTGCCGCAGTTCTGATTTCTTAAACCTGTCGTGTTCTTCACCAATTCCTGCACGCTAATGAAAATTTATGCAGTCCTTTCAAATAGGATCTTAAGTTTATATTGTGCCGCAATAAGCAAGTTTGCTGGGACATAAATCAGGCCTGTTTTTAACTCGCATAATTTGGGCCCCACATTTCGTGTCGTTACAGTTAACAATTCCGTCGTATCGGAGCAGTATAGGATTTCCTTCTCCAATAAGCTGTGGCCTTCTTCTGCTTCCATGTATGGGATTTGAGACAAGTTGTACTTTTCGAACTCTTCTTCCAAGATTTTAGTTCTATCTCAGGCCTTCGCTAAGCAATCATGTATTATGAGCGCAATTATAGAAAGGGTTGATCGCGACACTCACCTTGTATGGTTGTTCGCGGTTTTGAGCTAACTTCCCGATCTAATTTTATGTTGATCGCGAGATCGATGCGCGAGCTATGAAACTTTTGACTCGTTTACCTGGAGGAGATCATTTAATCTGTATTTAGTAACAATATAGTACTCTAAGAGGGAAGGAATGGGAGCAATTTTCAACACTGAATTTTGTTTTTTTTTCAAAACGACTGTCTTTTTTTTTTATCAAAAATCGGACCGCCGTTTGCTGATTAGCAGGCCTAATCACTTATCCTAAATGTCGGGCGTTTGGACCCGACTATTTAGGATAGCGATTAACCTGCTATAACCTTTAATTAGGTTGTTTACACCTGTTCCTAAATAGTCGGTGTGTTGCTCAAAAAAAAACAAAAAATAAAAAAAAATAAAAAATAAAAAAAAAAAATAAAAAAAAAAAAAAAAAAACCCGCGACTATTTAGGATATTATTAGCCAGCTATCACAACATCCGGTCGATTTTGATAAATAAAAAAAAAAACAGTCGGTTTTGCAAAAAAAAAAAAAATCAGTCCGGTTTTGAAAATTGTTCTATAAGAATCTAGTTTCCCGAAAGGGTCTCATCGTGTGACAATAAAATAGATGTGTATGTTAAGGTTCAAAAATAGATGACGACAAGGGGTCTGCTCTGCAATTCGCTAAAAATGTCAGAAAAACGATTAGCATGTATGAAGTTTTTATTGTAGACAGCTTAAAAGGAGCATTAAAAATATATATTGGTGGATGATTTGTGTAGAACGTTCAATATTAATGTTCTCTTCATTCTTTTATTACCCGATCGATTGCAGCAGAGTCTAATGTCTCCGAAATGAGAAGCAAGTTTTATTTTCATCCAAACAGGGGTAGTTCCTGAAAGTTTTATAAAGTAACGTAAATCTATTCCTTTATTCAAGTTGTCTTATGGATCATTCTCCCTTTCTGAATATGCTTCGTCCGAGTAGAGTTATTTTATGTTTACTTTTGGTCCTATCCGAACATTTTAGTGATCTTCATGCTACATGACGTCAGGAATCAATAGCACCAGACGTCGGCCTAAACTGGTCGATTTGATAATAATAAAAAAGTTACGAACTTCACGAAGTTCCCGTGAAGTTTTGTTATGTACAAAAGACCAACACTTACTTTCATATATAACAATAGCGCTTTAAAAGCTTAACAGGCTTCAAGTCCCGTGAAGTATCGTAAATTTATTTCGCCAAATCGACCAGTAAACTATGATCGATGTTTTTGACAATAAATTCGAAACGCCGGCTCGATCTTTTGCACCAATAGTTTCTAAAATGGCTGGCTTTGACGTACCACCAAAAGGATCCATATCCGGGAAGGTGAATATCGGAGGCCGTCCTTGGTGGTGCAATACCTAAACAGCGGCGGCGCGGGCGGCAGGGCCCCGCGGATCCCCGCTGCTGCCATTCGCTAACTGCCCCCTCTCGATTCATGGGGCCCGGTGCCATACAAGCGAAATCATGTCCACGTCGCACCCATCCCGCGGTCCTCCTCAGAGTCTAGCAAGCAGCCCCCACAGCGTGAAATCGCCCTGGGGCGCGCACGCGTAGTAGAGGGTACGACGTACGAACTTCTGCCCCCCACGATCACGACTCCTCATTCGCGCGTGCCGCGGGCGCCTGTCGAGCGTTTGCGCGAGATGCGAGGGGCCTCAGCGGGCTGGAGGTCGCGGTGGTGTAAGCCGGCAGAAGGGGAGGCAGGAGCGGCGGTTCTTGGCGGGCGGGCGAGGTCGGGAGGGGCGGCGGAGGAGGGAGGCGGAGGCAGGAGACGCTAGGGGAGCAGCAGGATGGTGGATGGGTGTGGGTGCGTTGACGGCGTCCACTGTTGAAGGGTGTGGCCAAGGGTGCGGTTCCGGTTGTGGCCCTATGATCTAATTTTTAAAAATCTTTTTTTCTCTTTAATTCCCTATCCCATTTTCTCTTACGGATTTTGGTAGTCCTCGTTCGCGATGCTACGTTCCCGCTGCTGCAAAGAAAGTTTACGTGCACCAACGCACGCAGGACTGCTGAGCAAGGGTAAGAATAAAAATAAAAAAATAAGTTATATATTATATATATAATATGATATATTATATATATATATATATATATTTAGTTTTATTATTGTTAAAATATATATATAACCCGATTCCGCATCACATTCGGTTTTTAAATGCTTTCAGAGCGGATTAAATAGAAGTAACCTCATAAAATTCTGATTCGGCCACGATAAAATAGTAAGAAGTTTATAATTACACTCAATTGTACTTCCAAGTGATTTTGTAAGACATAAGAAATTATAGAAAAAGGTGGGTAGTGACATATCTCATCAAAAAGCATTAAATTATCAAGCGATTCCTGAAAAAGCGCAAAAAAGAGAAGGAAAGTGGGAAAGAAAAAAAATCAAGATGATGGCTCTTTTAAATCAGTTCTTTCTATAGACGATAAATTTGCAATAAGGCGTTCCACATACAATATCACTGCGTTGCACAGGACGGGTTTAAATAAAGTAGAGTCCCTTTAATTTGCAAAAGTTTCGCGGAAAGTCTTAATATGAAATAATTAACAAATCGGAAAAACAGAGAGCCCTTTTATCATGGTCGGGCTGATGCCATTTAATTAAATTAAAGTCGACAGGCAGCTCCTGTAATCGATCAGTCATCAGAGATTGACCCCATAAGTAATAATATATAATAATAATATATATCACTATTATTACGAATTATTAAGTAGTAATAGCACTTAACGTATAAAGGGAGTAGCAGCTGAGACAGCCGCAGAGAAGGGAGGGGAGTACGGCGAGGGGAAAGGCGGCGGAGCCAGAGGAAGGAGCTGGAGAAGCATTCAAGCGTAATCTTTGCTTTGATTCTGGTTCTCTTGTCATTTATTTCTTTCAAAATGTAGAGGAAGAATTATAATTAATGATTTCGGTAGATAAATTTTGCATGAATCTCTGAGCCATTCGCTCTCTGTTTCCCCTTTTCTTTTTATTCTGCTTTTTTGTTTAGAGAGAGAAAATGACATGAGTTTTGTCGTGTGGAACTGTGCTCAGTTGACCGCGTGC